TGCCCTTTCGAAATCTGGCGCAATGAGCTTCGGTGGGGCGACAATGGTGGTGGGGATGTGTGCTATTGTGTGGTGGTGTTGGCGACGTAGTGGGTGTGTGGTGGGTTTGATTTTTGGGCTGTGATGGTGGTGGGCGTGTGTGCGTTGCTGGTTAGTGACGGTGGATCTAAAAATGGAAGCGGCGTTCACAATTGATGGCTGCAATAGTTTGGACGATCTAGTTTTTAAGTGTTGGTAGTGTCATTTGCTGGTTGTGGTGCCACTGGCTGTGTATGGTGGTGTTGTGTGGGGGTGTCGATGGTTGTGGTCGGGTGCTTTTGGTGGGGTCGGGGTGTTGATTTGTTTTTTAGACAGCGGTGTTGCCTTCGAGTAGTGTTGGTAGTTTTGGCAGCAACTGTGGTGGTACAGGTAGCAGTCGACGTTGGTGGTGACGGTGTCGGTGTTACTAGTGGTTGCTCTGGAGGATTTCATTTTGTTTTGTGTTTGTGAGTCTAATTAATTTTCTTTTGGTTTTGAGTTTCTAATCTAATTTCTGAATCTAATTTCTCCAATTAATTTGGTGGATTTCTGATTGTCGTGGTGTTTGGGCGATGGTGATGTTGATCGTGGCGGCGGTGGTAGTGGTTGTGGCGATAGTGCAGAGGTGGTGGGGGTGGATCTGGTCATTATGGTTTTCTATGACTAAAAATATAATCTCTGACATTAANTGGTAGTGGTCGTGGCGATAGTGTAGAGGTGGTGGGGGTGGATCTGGTCATTTTAGTTTTCTATGACTAAAAATATAATTTGTGACCTTAAAATTCGATAATTTGTGACTAAAAATATAATCTATGACCAACCATTTCGTTATCTGTGACCTAAAAATTATATAATCTGTATTCATGTGACCTTTTGTGACTAAAAATATAATCTGTGACCTTAAAAATCGATAAGCTGTGACTAAAAATATAATTCGTGACCAACAATTTTGTTATCTGTGACCAACTAATTTGGAAGTTTGTAACCGTGTGACCTAACGAACTAATTTGGAAGTTTGTGACTGTGTAACCTATAAATTTTGATATGTAACCAACTAATTTTGAAATCTGTTACCAACGAATGAATTATGATCTACAAAATTTTTGAACTATGAGCTTAAAATAGTCGTCGGAATCGGAGCAGTCGTCGGAATCGGAGCAGTCGTCGGAATATTCGCCGGAGCAGTCGCCGGAGAATAGTTGTGACCGGAACGATCGCCGGAATAGTCCTCAAAGCAGTATAGGTGGTGGAGGTGGGGTAGGTTAATTATATTATATTATAATTAAATATAAAATAAATTTATTTAATAACTAGTAATTCATAAATAAAAATTTAAAAAAAATCTGATTTTTGAAATTTGAAACTTATTTTCTTAGTTTTGAAATGGCACAT